AGGTTGCCCCGGCCATCGGTCCTGAGCACCCGTGGGAGCTGCTGGGAGGGCAGAGCCTGCTGCAAGAGCCCTGTGTGTGCGTCACTCACTCCTCCGGACAGGCTTTAAGGAGGGCTCGATGCTGCCCTGCCTGAATTTATAGCTATGTGCTATAGGTCCTTCCTCCTGGGTGGCCTGGGGGTGGTATGGAGGGGCTGGTCGGGCAAATAACCCCCGTGCCCTGGCTTTATCTGAAAGCAATGAGGAGGAAAGGCATGTCTCCTGCGCTGGTGGGGCTGAGCCTGGATGCTCCCCTCCTCAGGATGGGGGTCAGGGATCTCTCCCCCTTTACCGGCGCGCACAGCCAGCACTGCAGAGGCACTGGTGGGGGGCTGCGGGGGCTCACCTTTCCTTTCTGACTGCCCCAGTCCCACAGGGGCTGCCGCTGAGGTGGGGATTTGTCCCGGGTGCTTTGGGACACCGGGAGAGATGTGAGCTGGGAGTCCGAGCTCTGGGAGCCTGCAGATGGAGGGGAATCCCTGGCAGAGTGAAAAGCCCCGTTTGCAGGTGGCCTGCCTGAACACAGGTTTCACCGCTCAGTTTATCTTCTGCTCAGTGCTCGCTTAGCATCTCTAATATCCCAGGGAGTGAGCGTAACAGGTAGACACTGCGTGGCAGGTACCTGCAAGGTGTCTGAAAACAGCCAGACTGGATGTGGCACTGGCGCAGTCCCGTCGAGGAGCTGAGTTTTGCAGCTAGTATTATTCTCTGTGTCTCCTCGATGCCTTTGTTTTGGAAGCAAATGGCCCTCTAACTGCATTGAATTGCCCGGCTACCTTGCACAGCCGGGATCTAATTACCTCTGGAGCTGGGAGCCCTGTCTCCAAGCGGCACTGAGGCTTTTGTTTTTAATTACTTGCTCCGCCACGTTCAGAGTGTGACAATGTAGGGGAGCCTGCCAGGACCGGCTGCTGGTGCCACTGTGCTCATACCACAGTGGCTGGGAAAGCTAATAGGAGTTGGGATGTCTTGGGCCAAGCATCTGTGGCACGGCGCTGGGTCAAAAACAGAATAAATGGGTCTAGCAATGAGCACAGCTCTCCACCGTGTCCTGGGAAGCGAGCTGGATCACATCCTTCCCTATCGTGATGCTCTGACAGAGGGAAAGCATGGCCAAATCCATCTGTACGGCCCCAACGTGTGGCAGGGCAGCCCCCAGACAGAGCAAGGAGCTGCGGGGAATGGGGCACAGCCGGCTTTCGCCTCCCTCCCCATGCCGCAGGCTATCTCCAGCCTCCTGTTAATGTTTACAAGGTAGGTCTGGCGTCGTCTGTCCAAAGACCAGATCCCTCCCCGGCTCTCCCTGGGATCCTGCTTCCTGCTGGCCGGGACAGGGCCGCAGGACGGTCGCAGGGAGGAAAAACCCGGCTCCCCACTGCCTCCGTAACACTATCGGCCCCGCTCTCCCTCCAGCCATCTCTGGCTCCGCTTCCCTGCTTGCGGGCGCAGGTACGCTGGGGTGAGCTCCTGGGACCTCGCCAGCACGCCGCTGCCCCGGGCATCTCCACTTACAGGCGGCTCCTGCCAGGCGGAGGTGGGGGGGGGAAGGTATTTTTAGGGCTGTTGATCTGACACCAGCCGAGTTTCCTCTGCTGTGAGGTTGGGGTTCGGGGAGAGGGCAGGAGAGGAAGCCACCGGCTGAGCTCCTGCTTTGGGTTCCGTGTTTAATTGGACCGAGGTCATTCCCTACCCCTCTTATCTGTGGCAAATATTTTCTTGCCTCGCACCAGTTCATGCTTACAGTTTTACCCCTAGGTGATAGTTACCCAGCAGCTAAAATCTTTGTTTATTAACAATGCACCAAGAAGCATCTATATTGTTAGAGCTCTGCTTGCAGGTTGTTGGGTTGTTTTTTTTAAAACCGCTATTGTTACACTTGGGAAAAAGCAGCTTTCCATAGATTAGCAGAAATAGAGGCCAAACATGGCAGTTTATGCATCTGTTGGCCTTGAGATATGAAGCTGCCCTATAAATAAGAGCGTATTATTAGGTTGGTCCTTGCTGTCTGGAGCTGCGGGGTACACGGTGCCCATACGCCCTGGCCACCATCTGCGCTGGGAATGCTCGGTGCCTTGGGGAGACCGGCTTCAAGGAGGGCAGACCTGTCGGGGAGATGCTGGAGCACTTCAGCATCCCCGAAGGGCAGTAGCTCTGCCTGCTCTGCCTGCAGCATGGCAGGCTTGCTCCCTTGTGCTTAATTCGGGTGCGGGAGGGACCACTGGTTTCCCTTCAGTTCTCGGTATTGGCATTGCTGGCACACCGAGACCCCCATGATCCCGAAATGGCCGAGGCTGGCCAAATGCCCTGGGTGATGCCAAACCTCTGGCCTCTTGGGCAGCCCTGGGGTTTGCCCCCAGCAGGCCACGCATGAGGAAAGGAGCCAAATCTGGGGGGGGGACCACAGGGATCCCAGTGTTTTCTGGGCTCCCGAGGAGGACATCAGTGTCCTGATGGCTCATTGGTAAAGGGCTCTTTATTATCATGGGTGAGGGATGAGTTTAACCCCTAAGTCTCTGGTTCCTGATAGAAAAGGGTCCTGAGCCACACGTGTGAACTCACAGGGACACAAATGCAGGCAGGTCTTTCCCTTTCAAGCAGGATAGTGACCCCTGAGGAAACCAGAAGTAGCAAGGCTGGGAAGGAGAAGCGTGTGTTTTGGGGGACATAGGGACTGCATGCACCTCCTGGGAGAAAAGAGGGTCCACTCTTGAAGAACGTTTGCATTTTCCTGCTGGGAGAAGCAGACCCAACCATGGTGAATAGGCTGGTTTGGGTGATGGATGCCCTGGAAAAAGCCTGGGGAGATTAACCTCAAAGGAGGTTTGTCCACACTGCGTGTGCTGGGAAATCTGCTGGGAGCTTCCCCTTCACCAGCTTACCTCGGTCCTGCCTTCCTGTGCCGCTCCCCTTGCCTCTCTCTCCCTGCAGATGAGTAATGCCACACATGCCTTGCCCTCTCCCATGGCGCCCAGCGCCTCGGAGCCCGGCACAGCGGCCAGGCTGGCCTCAGCTCCCCCATCCTCGGCCCTCATCCTGCTCACGGCTGCCCACAACGACTCTGAGGATGGCCGGCAGCTCTTCCTGACCACGACAGCGGCGCAGGTCATCTCTGGCATCTTCGTGTGGTCAGCGCTCATCATCACCTTCTACCAGGTACAGGCTGGAGCGGAGATGGGGCTCAGCACTGGTGTTGACGGAAGGGCAAAACTATCGATTGCCCCCAAGTTCATGGCAAATCACTCAGTTCCGGATAAATATTTCCTCCTGTTGCTGCCCGGAGGGGATATCTCCGCTGTCGGGAGCCTGGTGCTGGCAGCTCGGGAGGGTGGACTTTGCCCACGCACTCCCCAGGCGGCTGCCAGAGCCGGGAGAGGCTACGGGGCATCGGCACTGCCCGGAGGCAACACCCAGCGGGGTTTCTCATCTGGCACGCTGGGGTCTGTGCCTTTGGGGTGTGTGCCGCCGGCTGCCTTGAAATGTACTGCCAGTGGGCATGTTTTTGGGTGCTGCATGGATCTGTGCTGCTGAAGGCAGCCCTGGGGCAAGCTGGTGCCTCCGAGCACTGGGACATGGCTGTATGGGGGCTGGCACAGAGGAGGGCACACTCCTCGCACAGCGCCAGGGAAGGGACCCAATTTCCACGTGTTTTTGTGGAAGGGATTGCTCTGGGGACCAGGATGGAGCCTGTCTCACATGTCTGTTCACTGCGGTGGGTCTGTGGTGGAAAGCCAGCGGTGCTCTCATCCCCGGGAGGAGGGTCAACATGGGACAAGCCTCCTGCAGCCCTCTGGGCTGGGGGCACCTCTGGTTCCCCTCCTGAGCAGTGGTAGCCACAGCTCTGCATGCTGGGCACTTTGCAGATCTACACGCACCTGAGGAACTACACCATCCCCAAGGAGCAGCGCTACATCATTCGCATCCTTTTCATTGTGCCCATCTATGCCTTCGACTCCTGGCTCAGCCTCCTCCTCCTCGGCAGCCACCAGTACTACGTCTACTTCGACTCGGTGCGCGACTGCTATGAAGGTGAGCGCAGCCTCTCCTTGGCAGGGAGGCTGATGGCAAAGCAGGGCTCTCATCCTGCTGACCTGTGTCTCTGGAGTGTCCTGGATTGCACAAAGTGGCAAACCTCCATCTCTTTCACTTCCCACTCTCCCTTCCTCCGTAGAGAGGTCTTCCCCTTCCTTCTCCATCGGCAGCAGGGAGGGGATGCCCCACGGGTGGGGGGCACCAAGCTGGTGCCTTTCTGCCGCCTGCCTGCAGGCTCAGAGGGACCCCAGTGTCATGCTCCTGGGGAAAGAGGTTTTCTGGTTGCCTTTGGGGTAGAAATGCAGCTTCTCTAAAGTGGAAGGTAGATGTACCTAAGAAATTGGGGAGTTGGGATGTTTTGAGGTGCAGGGGAAGCTCATCAGGGTTGAGGTTGCTCTTCTACCTTGTTGCTCTCCCCCTGGGGAACAGAGGGGTGTGGGCACGTGTATTACTTCAGGTATTACTTCAGGTTTGGAGTGTACGAAAAATAAGTGATGGGGATGTTCAAGAAAACTGTTCAAGACCTGCTTCTTGCTGGCCACCAGCCGCTTGTGCTGCCCCTTAGCAATTTTGAGGTCCTTCCATGCAGACGGTCCCTGGCCATTGCACTCCTGCCTGGGCTTGTCTGGGTGTGCATGGAGGCCAGCTCCACGAGCACTGCTGGGACGTCCAACTGCTGCCACATGCAAGCAGGAGCTGCTGTGTCTGCAACAAATCCTGTGCACATGGTGCGGTGCCTCTGACTCCGCTTGGAAGTCAGATGGATTTGACCTGCTGCTCCTCTCGCTGGGCTCCCACCCACCAGTGTCCCAAATTCTGATGCTGTGCCAGGGTGGATGAGAAGACATCTGAGGAGGAAGGGATGTAAAATGTAATAACACCCCCCTCCTGGATCTCCATCAGCCCTGCTGATCATGTCTGCCCTTGCCTTGCCAGCTTTCGTGATTTACAGCTTCCTGAGCCTGTGCTTCGAGTACCTCGGAGGTGAGAGCACCATCATGTCAGAGATCCGAGGGAAGCCCATTGCGTAAGTCCCAGCATCCCACAAGTTACTCGGCCCTCCACCCGCCTTCCCTATCCAGCAGCCCCAACAGCATCTCCTCGGCTTCTGCTTCCAGGTCCAGCTGCTTTTATGGGACCTGCTGCCTTCAGGGTATGTCCTACTCCATTGGGTTCCTGCGCTTCTGCAAGCAGGTGGGTACCCGACGGGGTGCATCAGCTCTGCTCCCCTCCAACGAGGGTTCTCCAGGCAGCAGGTCCCTTCCCCGCTGCCCTGCCGAGAGGGCTCTGCTTCGCTGCTCTCCCGAGATGCTCTTTTTGTGTTTTTTTTTTTCTCCTCTGAGAGAGGCAGCTTACCCAGCTCGCAGGCACCTGGCCAGCAGCAGGGTGCAGCGCTCGCTGTCCTTGCCTCTGACTCACTGCTGAGTCAGGGTCTCCTCCCACTGCAGAGCTGAGATTGCCATCTCTGTCCAGTCCCAGGTTAGCCTGGACGGCTCTCTAACTCTCCAGGGCTGCGCTGCAGGCTGAATCCTGGCACAGGCCTGTCCCCAAGCCACCCGGTCCCCACCCTCGGAGTGGCTACGCTGCCTTTCAGGAGCTGCCTTTTGGGAGCCCTGCTCCCTCCTGTCTGCAGACCTTGAGCTGGTTCATATTTCACCCTGCAGCATTGGTCACTCCTGTGATGGAGAACTGCTCTCTCCTCTGTGTCTCTGTCCCCAGAGCAGAAGGGTTGGCTCGTGTGGAGGGGCTGGGGGTGGCAGGAGCTGCAAGGAGAGCAGTGGGACATCCCTGCTGCCCCCGGGGTGCACCGTGTCTCTCCCCTGTGCAGGCCACACTGCAGTTCTGCATCGTGAAACCCCTCATGGCGATTGTCACCATCATCCTGCAGGCGTTCGGAAAGTACCACGACGGGGACTTCAAGTGAGGATGCTGGGTCAGGCTGGGGAGGGTGAAGGGGACAGGACGGGTCCCTGCTCCATCACAAGGGACAGGGTGTCCTGCCAGCCCCCTGCCCCAGAGAGCTGCTCCATGGGTAGTGAGAGCACAGGGAGCACGAAGCGCCGGGGAATGGAGACTCACTGCCCCCAAATAAGAAAGGGGCAAAACTCCTGTGAGCCATAATAAAAGAGGTCGCACCAACAGAGGAAAAGCTGAGAGCGGCCCCCTGCTCCCCCCTTTCTCCCTGCCTCTCCTTCCCCTCCTGGGCTGTGCTCTCCCCCGTGGCAAAGCCATGCACTTCTCCCCCTCCATTTCTTCCTTCTTTGCCTCTGGTTGTACTTGCTTCGCTTCCCACAGCCCAGGGCAGCACCTTGCTCTCTCTCCCCGCAGCGTCCAAAGTGGCTACCTCTACATCACCATCATCTACAACTTCTCTGTCAGCCTGGCACTTTACGCCCTCTTCCTCTTCTACTTCGCCACCATGGACCTGCTGCGCCCGTTTGAGCCGGTCCTCAAGTTCATCACCATCAAGGCAGTCATCTTCCTCTCCTTCTGGCAAGGTGGGTCCCACGATGGACAGCCAGCACTTCTCCTCCCATAGCCCCACCCGACCCGGGGATGCAGGACCAGAGCTGATCCCTCTCCCTTCCCCTGCACAGGGATGCTGCTTGCAATCCTGGAGAAATGTGGGGTGATCCCTGAAGTTCAGATCATCGATGGGAAGGAGGTGGGAGCTGGGACAGTGGCTGCTGGCTACCAGAACTTCATCATCTGCATTGAGATGCTCTTTGCTTCCATTGCCCTGCGCTACGCATTCTCCTGCCAGGTGTACAGAGAAAAGAAAGAAAACTCAACAGGTAAAACTCTTCCTCTCTTCTTCCTTCCTTCATCGGTGAATAAGGAAAGAGGAGGCACTCCCCCTTATAGCATTACCAATGGGATGCTAAAAGCCACCAGAGGAGTTTCCTTCTCCTGTGCTCCACGACTCCCTTCTCCCTCTTCCCACATGATACCCACAAGCCACAGCGAGTGGATAGGAAAAGATACCTTGGTGTGGATGGGCAAAATTAGGGGATTATGGTATTACGGCACATGCTGCTAGAGAGGTTTCATCCTCTTTGAAACATGGAGCTGGAGTTGCCTTTCTTCTCCTTGGCGCTCGCCACCACAAGCTGATGTGGCCCATGATGAGGCCCTGATCTTGAATTTCTAAGGAAAAGTGTCACACCAGTCTTGGAGCGCTTGAGCTCGTTGCCTGTCTACCCTCCTGCTCTCCCTGTTTTTCAGCAAACCTTGCCCCGATGCAGAGCATCTCAAGTGGGCTGAAGGAGACCATAAGCCCCCAGGACATTGTGCAGGACGCAATCCACAACTTCTCGCCCGCGTACCAGCAGTACACCCAGCAGTCGATGCAGGAGGCAGAGCGCAAAGCGCCGGGGGAGAACGGGCATGTGGCCTCCAAGGTGGAGGGACCAAGCGGCAGAAAGAGCAAAAACATTGAGAAGAGAGTGCTGATCCTGTCGGATGAGGAGCTGTAGGAGACGTCAGAGGGGACGGTGACACTGGAGAGGTTTAAACCCATGCAAATGGGAGCTGTCTCGAAGTCAAGACAACCTGGTCTAATCGGAGTATCGAGAAGCCAGGAACTCTATCCAAAAAGCCAGTCTCTCGAAGGGAAGATGCAATAACCCAGGGAAAGGTTAAATCAAATAGTGCCAGCTTCTGCTGTCCCATCTCTACTGGTGTTAGGGATGAGGCTGTCTTTGTGCCGGTGACTAAGCAGCCCTCAGTTGTGGCCTGGGCTTTGCTGCCCCACTGCCAGCGTCTTGATGCCAGCCCCATGTCCGCGCCCACGCTGGGGGATGCCAGGCATGGAGGGGAGCCGGGCTGCAGGACAGACCAGCCGCCCTCGCCCTCCTCTTACCTGCAAGCAGTGCTGAGGCCTGAGAGAAATGCTTTTCTCAGCACGGTTCTGCTCTAGTTTCTCCCAATTTGAGTAAAAAAAATTATCTCGAAGGGCCCCGTGGAGAAAACCAGCCCAGGAAGGTGACTTCACTTCACCTCAAAACCCGGTAACGATTGAAAGACGTCATTCCTTATTTTTACATCTCTTCCCCTCTCCTTCCCCCAGAAAAGCCTACATAGTTGTGCAGAAGACCTCTACCAGGGAGGAAGAATAAGTCCTCCTCTTCTCCCTCCAGCTGGGGATGCAGCTGTCTGAGTAACTCCCCCAGGAGCAGCAGCAGGACCTCACTCGGGGCTAACATGGGGTCTCACAGCTGCATTTCTGAGAGCTGCCGGTGACAGAAGCACTTGTTTATGTCTAAGCCGACTTATCTCTGAAAGGATCAGAAGTTAAAAGGGATTCCAGCTTCCTTATCAGAGTCTTTATTAGGGAACCAGACTGTGACTGGTGGTGGTAGGAATGCGCTTATTGGGAACTGTCTGTTCCTCCTAACCCCTTGCTATTTACCGTCCCTGGGCTTTGCCCAACCTGTGGGAAGGCAGGCGGGAGCTGAGCCCGGCTGGGTGACGGTGGCAGGGATGGAGAGGAGCTGGGGTCTGCTGCCGCTCGGGGCTGGACCACTGGCAGAGGAAGATACTGCATGGAGGGATTTTCCCCATATCAGTGATGGAGAGTGCACATCCTTCTGTTAAACTTCCTGGTTTTGTTTTGTTTTTTTTTCCTAATTTTTAGTCCAATTTCTATTCCCCTGTTAATCAGATGATCCCTGGGAACTTACTTAGGCACTGGCTGGGCTGTTGTTTGGGCGTGGGAGCTGGGTAGTGAAAGGAGGAGGGCGAGTCTACAGCCTCAGATTTGCAGTCGCGTGGCAAACAAGGCTTAGAGCCATTTTACACACAACTCCTAGCGTGTTTTTTTTTCCCTGCTCTTAAGCTGCAAAATGTAAATCACAACATGAAATTATTTTATTTATGAATTTTTTTTCTAATAAACAGCAATTTCTATCACAGAGTGAGCAAATGTTTTCACTTAGCTCAGCAAGCAAAGCCCACGATCTGCCTGTTCCTGCTCTAATGCTGATGCTCTTAAGCTCAACGCCCTCCTTGCCCCTCGATGCTGGCCCAGCAGAAATACCTGCACACGCAGCATCCTGCACATTTTGGCATTCCCACGGGATTTGTGCCCATCTTTTTCACTCCACAAAGAATGTGTGTGTCCCCCGTTTCCTCTCCTTACAGTGCACCTCTTCCAACCCTCGCCTAAGCTGTGGACGCAGCAGTTCAGAGCTGCTGGATCTGCTTTAGCCCAGCTAAGCCCAGACCCCAGCAGCAACAAGACAACCTCTATTATTATTGGAGAAATCTTACCGTGCTGGAAGCCCGGACTCCACACGAGCAGCCTATAGCTCAGCCAGTCTTGCAAGTCCCTCTGCTCCGAAGCACCGCTGCTCATACCTGCTCAGCCGGTGAGACCACTGCCACTTTTCCTGCAGTGAGGTTCATAAACAAGAGCCATACGCTCTGTGCATCCAGGCATCCATCCAGGGTCCTGTGCATCCTGGGAACAGGACCCTCCTGCACGCCAAGTGCAGCCTCGATGCTCAGGGACGAGGCTGCCTGGCTTTGTAACACAGCCAGCACTGAAGCAGGGACATCTCTCACCTGAACATGTTGGTCTTCTCCACCGCTCTGGGAGAGGGCCGGCCACAGCTGCAGAAACAGAGGCTGCTCCAGCTCCCGGGGCGAGGACAGACTGCAAAGGTGATGATGGCGCATCTGTCGGCGAGCTCGCGGCTGCTGAGATAAAGACTTGCACAAGAACACAGCAAGAAACGTAGTTGTACTTCATTGCACAAATGATCAGCTCTGGTGCATAATGGGCTGCATTCATTGCTCTTGCCAGCAGGTGCAATTCCCACTGCAGACAATAACATTTGCCTATTTATGTCAAGCCCTGATTACTGTATTGTATGTAAAACAGGTCTTTCTTGCAAGCAAAACAAGGGGGGGGGGATCAGCTGTGACTCATCCAAGTCAGCAGTGTGATACCAGCCTGAAGGAGCCGTGCTGGGCTGGACACCAGCTGGCTGCTGCGTCGTGCAACAGCAGGCAACGCTCCCCTCTCCAGCAGGCGTGAGCTTGGCCTCCTGGTCGTCCTTTTTCTTGGAGAGGGGAGAGAGGCAAGAACTCACAGCTCAGGCTGGGCGCCGTCACGGCCCTCAAACCATTATGCTGTCAAAACGCATCCATGGGGAACAGAAATACCGACGGTGGTGTAGGCTGAACGCGTTCCCCAGCAGACACAGTCCTGTGCTCCTCCGCTAACACGTCCCCTCCACCTCTTCAACAAGGACGCGGGGAAAGCTGGCAGCAAGCACACGGGTGACCTACACAGGAGCCCGGCTGTGCCTGGAGCCACGCCAGCAGGCAGCCTGGGAGGAACAGGCTTTTCTCGCTGCCAGCAGCAGGCTCCGGTGGTCGGCAAATTTGTTTTCCAGTTGTCGCCTGTCCTCAGGCTTTCCCCAAGGACAAGGCTGGGCTACAGCTATCCGTTGTCCCGGTGCTTTTTGGGCTTGGGTCAGGCAGGTTTACAACCTGCTCTTGTTGGGGATGCATCCTCGCAGAGCACACCCTGCCACCGCACCCATGAGAGCTGGGGCCAACCACACTTCCTACAAGCGGAGGGGAAGGAAGGTGGCCGCTAGCGCTGCAGCGGAGCCAGTGCTGTCACGCACAGCTGCTTGCCTCACAGTGCCCAGTCGGAGGCAGAGAGGCTTCTTTTTTTGGGTGCTAGCACCTACCAGCAAGTCGCTGGGCCCAGCTGCTGACAGGCAGCAGACCGCCAGACCTGCATCGGAGAGCAGGATTCATGCTTTTGCAGCCCTGCTCAGAGACCCTTCTCCCCCCAGCTCTAGGACTTTCTCCTCCCCTAAGCATGGTGAAGATTGAGTTTCCTTTCACTGCTGAACCTCCACCTGGCCTATTCCTGGTGCCCTTTTCCTCCTAACTCCATCCCTCTGATAGACACAACTGGCCCACCTCCCTCTCTTCTCCCCTCCATCGTCACCAGCTCCTCGCTGCCGTCTCTCCAGGCAGGAGCTGAAGCAGCTGATGATGACTTTCTTGCTCAGCACAGCAACTGCAATCGCCCCCCAGGCTTCACCCATGTTCCTGCTCGGCCAAGCCTGCCTGGCCCCACCTCTGGCACCTAATGACCATCCATTACCTGCTGACACACAAAGCCTTTTCAGCCCTGCTTCTCTCCACTTTGCCCTACCTCTAATTCCAACTTTGGCCAACGCACCCGTCTGCCTCCAACCTATTGCCTCAAGCAGGCACAGGCCAAGCATTTTCCTCCTTCAGCTGTCCCCTAAAGAAAATCTACCACTTGGAACAGGGGATTAAAGCTAACATGGCCCCTAGGAGCTTACTGGCACAAGGTACCTACCACCTCTTTAAAGCCCAAACAGGGAAAAACAGAAAGATGAAATATTGATGTAAGGGGTTAAAGCAGTTTATTCACAAGCAGTCGCATAGGAAAGCAGTGAAGGGATATTTCACAACCCAAAGGAGAGGAGAGCGTCTCTCTCCAGCACTGCAACCTGTCTCACAGCACACGGTCTCCAAGCCAAGAGTGGCCTTGCGCAGCCAGCTCTCAGCATCACGACTGCAGGCAGGTGCCTGCTGCGCTATCGGTCCCCGCTTGTGCTACCAGAAGTACCCACTGATTATACACAAAGGTGCAGCCTGGGTTAGAACAGATAAACTGGTCTGAGCATGGGATCTACCTGACAAGCAGCTTGGACAAGAGCGATCCCTTGAGCATGTTCCAAATACACCAAGGAAGCACCACAGCAAGGCTGGGAGATGGGCGAGCTGGCTACACCAGGCTGGGTCAGATGCTTGCAAAAGCCCGAGCAGCCGTCACGCTCGCCTTAGCCCAGCCTGCCTCCTAAAAACACATCGCTCACCAGCAGCGCCGCAGCCGACAGTCAGCTGTACGCTGCACCAGGGACAAGCAGGCAAAAAACCCCGAGGAAAACACTCCACTGAAGATCAATGCAAGCTCCAAAATGCTGACCATAGACCAGGGCAAGTCTGAAACCAGAAAATGCTTTATTGGAAAGGTACAAAAAAACCAGTCACTGCAGCTAAATTTACAGCAATAAATTACGTTGTGGCTGTCAAGAGAAAGTAATGGACACATACACAGGGCTATCCGCCTTACAAACAGGAATCCACATTGCTTGGTATATCAATAATTTATTTTATAATAAAAAAGCAGCACAAAAATAAATATTGAAATGAAATTACTGAGTAACCACAGAGGATAGAATGAGCTTGTGATAAAAAACAACTTAAAACAGAAGACTTCTATCATTAAAAAAATGAAAGCAAGTATCCACCATCTACGGAAACACCCCAGCAGACTGAAATACAGACGAAGGAAAACAAATCCACTTTACAAAAGTTTTTTGTTTTTGTTTTGTTTTTTTTTTTAAATAAAAACAATCATGACAATGAAGTTTAAATGATTCGAGAGAGAAAAAAAAAATGCCACCTTCTCCTCCTC